TTATTTTCGTTAACATTTTAAAATTACATTTCGTAATTCTATCAGTTATATTATAAAATAATTATGCGTTTAAATTGTTAGACCAAAGTGCATTATCGTAGCCATCCGAAGCACTGCTCCAATAATCTGTTGGATTTGTATAGTATATATTTTACCAAAAATTTACTTACAAAATCACAATTATTGGAAATTATCGCTAAAATTTTCCAATGAATTTGAAATGAGAAGTCAAAGCAAAAGCGAAACAAAGAAACAGTTACTACGTTTATACGTAAGTTATTTGCAAATATAAATAATTTGCAAATACCCAACTCACTGTTTATTCGATGCTGAAAAATTCTTTTTTAATATTGCCTGATTATAAAAAATCGAAAAAGAAAATAAAGTTAAAAATGGCAACGTCTTGATTATTAAAGGACAATAAGATTACCATCGAAAAAGAAAATAAACCTAAGAATGGCGGCTTATTTGCAAATAGTACCACTAGTCAATACTTATTTGCGTGATTTAGTTATGTATTTGCAAATAAAAAATTAACTCAGCGTTTATACGGCAAAGTTTACCGTTTTGAAAATGATTATTTGCAAATAATACGTGCGTATAAACTTTTTTTACAAAATACTTTTTTCACAAAATTGTCTGCTCCATTTTTTGTTCCATTTTTCCCAGAAATAAAATTGGAATGAATAGAGAAGGCATTACTGTAACGCTGGTATGCCGAAATTCCCAAAATTACAATAACCACCCCCTAAGTGACAACACCTTATTATTATTTCACCATGGGTAGTTTCAATAAACAACTTTTTGATTAAAAAGCAGATTTTTGACAATTGCTCAATTGTTAAAAATTCGAAGCGGCGTTACCCAATTTAAGTTTTTTGTTAGAGGGGATTTTATATCATAAATTTGGGATTATGTATAAAATCTTATAAAACACCTCTTTGAGGTAAAATTTTCGAGTGATGAAAGCTGAAATAGAAACACAAAATTTATGATATCAATTGCGTGACGAAAATTATACGCATTTTTTAACTGCCTTTGAAACGTAAGGAAAATCTTTTTTATTCATACGAATCGTTGCAAAAGTTCTGTTTTTGAAGTGAAACTTCTTTAGCGGCGGTTGGTTGGTTGGGAGTAAATTGGCAAATTCAACGGAAATTGCACACGGAAATGGTGCAACGGAAATGATGCAACGGAAATGGTGCAACGGAAATGGATGGGCCTGAAACAAATGCTTCTTGTGTGTATGCATATGGTATTAATTTAACTAAAATTTGCTAATAAAAGGTTAACGAGAATGATGCAACGGAAATGGTGCAAAGGAAATGGTTGGGGCTGAAACAAGTGATTCTTGTTTGTATGCATATCGTATTAATTTAACTAAAATTTGCTGATGAAAGGTTAAAGAATAACACTTAGAAAAACGCCAATACAAGAATGAAAGTAAAGGTGACTACGTACATAGATAAAGAAAAGGATAAATGCAAAGGTAAAAATAAAAACAAAAACAAATATGCGTAAAGATAAAGGCAAAAATAAATAAAATAAAATAAGCCACTTTTTAATATACAACGCTTTTATAAATGGACTAAAAAGTAGAAAATAATATTTCTCAGTCCCACAGAATTTGTTTTGATAACTTTTAATTTTGATTTTGATTTGATGATTTTAGCAAAAGTCATTATAAACAATTAATGACATTGAAAACGAAAAACTTTGAGCGTATGCAGTACAAAGCATTCGATTTCATTGACAATAGTCAAACTACATAACATTCTACAGCGAAAATACAAATTTGAGATCGATTTTAAGCGGTCGTTATTCATATGCCCACATACATACATATGTTACTTTTCATATCAATTCAAGTGTATTACATGCGCCCCACACTTTTCATTTTCAATGTCATTAATTGTTTATAATGACTTTTGCCAAAATTTCAAAATCAAAAGTTATCAAAACAAATTCTGTGGGACTGATAAATATTATTTTCTACTTTTTAGTCCATTTATAAAAGCGTTGTATATTAAATTTTTTTTTTTTTCTACTTTTTAGTCTTGTCTGTACAAAATTTTGCAATAGATATTAAAATAATAAAAGCGTTGTAAAATTAAGGTCAAGATAAATTTAAACACTTTACTTATATATATAAGGGCAAAGGTGAAGGGGAATATGTATGTAGATGAAGAAAATGATAAACATAAAAGTAAAGACAAAGAGGAAGATGAGGATAC